CCCAGGGTGACGGTGGTGATGGATGCACAGTCTGTGTAACGGAGCATTCACTGAACTGTAGCCCTGTGATGTGGCCAGAAGCAGGAGGGGCTGTGTGGATCCTGATACAGTTGAAAACCTTAATCTTTCCTTTTTCTGTCTAAACTAAGCTAAAAATGTGCACAGAACCTAAGGTTTCACTGCAGGTCTTAGTGTTTTCCAACAGAATGTCAATAGATTGGACTAGTTTGGAAATGAAACTGGCTTTGTTTAAACACAACATAGGGAAACAGTGAGAAAAGCAGCTAAGACAGGTTGTGTAACCTGACATTCACTGTGGTTTTACACCACTGGCCTCGGTTTATCTGCACCACAATGAATTAAAGGTACAAATCTAACGTGGCCCGGTCCTGAAGCAGGCAGAACAGCGCCGGAGTGAACGGTCTCCATTAACTGATATGGCAGGAGTCTGGATCCTAATCTGAGATGAAGCCCCCTGTCCCACTCTAGATGGCAGCAGGCGAGCAGCTTCAGCTTTGGATATGGAAACAGGCCCCGGCACTGATCTGCGCTCTGCGTCCGCGCACCGGACTTGGCCCGACGTGCTGCTGTTCCCCTAAATATGACCCGGCTGCAGGACGGGCTTCAGTCACATGACTCGTTTTCACGCGTCGCTTTTTATGTGCTCGCTCATTTTTGTAGTGTCAAATTATTCCCAGAAACATTAGTGAAATGGCCTCCTGCCAAACCCCGTCCCTCACTGAGCGGCTCTGGACACAAACCGCCTTATTTCCTGTGACAATCAATCCCTCTGTTTCTAATTGGATGGGGTGCCCCCTCCTCTCCCTCCTCTCCCTCCCTCCCTCCTCTCCTCCTCCTCCTCTTCCTCTCCGGGTTATTGTCACTGACAGTCGGATTATTCCTTCACAGCCCTAGTCTGCCCCCTGGCCTCCTCCTCCTCCTCTTCGTCCGGCGATGCGGCCACCAACTAAGGGTTTATAATTTCTCCGTGCACGCTCCGTCCCTGGTCGCTCCTTCCCCGCACGGTAAGAGAAGCTCGTCTCTTTAAAACCTGTTTGTGCTGAGAATACGTGGCTGCCTGGCTGAAGCATGTGCAGGAGCTTATTGTCCCCGGCAGGAGTTCCACGGGGGGACTCGACCCTCGCACGTGTGCAAAGTGTGTTATTATCCCGAGTGTTTGTGTGTCTGCGGTGACGAGAGGCCGAGTGTTGGAGTTGAACTTCCACAGAACTGCGCGTTTTCAGCGTCTGGCGCGGATCATCGTGACAGTGTTTGTGATTAAAGACGCGTAGTGTGCGCTGCCGTGCACGGCGATTGCCGTCTCGTTTAAAGCAACGTGCAGCGCTGTGGGTCAGATTCGCGTGGCACTTCCCTTCAGACGCGTTCAGCCGTCAGTGTTTGTCCCGATGTTCCTCCCAGTCGGTGCGAAGGAACCCTCAGATTAAAACGGTCCTTCCTAAACGCGGCCGGACTCTGAGACCCCATTTGCCCACTCCTACGCATGTCTCTCTCTGGAGTTGATGGGACCCTTGGGGGCTCCATGACCCCAGTCCTGGATACACTCCTCATGGACACTTGAGCCACCACATTAACTGCCCCCTCCTCACCCTCTCCTAAAATTTGGGTGGCATATGGCTGTGTTCCCTGAGGCTCACAGATGTTCACCCCTTACATCTGCAGCCTCATTCAGAGACAGAAGACACTGAAACTGTACTCTGCACTCTAGGTGTGTGTGTTTATGGCAGACTCCCACTCAGTAACTGGTCTGATCACCTCCTGTTCTCACTGGAGGGCTGCATTACTCAGCTGAAGGTAAAGTAAGCCTATGCAAAGAGGCAGCGTGATCCTGTGTTTTAGTGGAATAATATGCTAATGTCAGCTCCTGTAGGAGCCATTGGACCTGTTGTTGACTACTTCAGTCTGCTTCCTGTCATCACACAGGGAGGTAGAGGTAAAGCTATAGGAGAAATACAGCAGGGCTTCAACTGACGTAAAAATCTACAGACTGTTTCATTTGTTAAGTGTCAGAAGATCATGAAAAACGCACATCGCCATTTCGTAAGGCGGCGTCCTGCTCAGTCCTCAGTCTGGACGAAGCTAGAACAAGTGACAGATGACCTCGACATTTAATCAGCTGTCAGTTTCTCATTATTTTTGTTTGCATAATCAAATAATTGTTTCAGCTCTAATTTGATTTTATTGATTGATTTATTGATCCTCACAGAGCAGATTCACATCACAGCTGTAACAACAGTCTACAGAGGCAGAAAACGGAAAAGAACCACTTTAAATGGTCAGATAAGAAGCCAGATGTAGGGCCTGTATACTTGAACACTGTGGCCACATGCATGACCCGACTCGTAGAGGAAGCTGTGCACAAGTGATGAGTCTGTGTAGCTGTGCAGCTCGTACTGACCTGATGATAATCTCACCACCCTCGGGTTGGAACCGCTTCTCTGAGCTCACACAGTACACGGCACATGTCCCTATACAGCAGAAATGTTATGGAACGACGACCTGGCCACGTGGTAAATTATCTGTGACCTGCTGCCTGTTGTAGACTGAAAGCTGGAGCAGGTGAAGCAGGAGAGCTATGTTCAGATGTAATTTCATTGCCACCTTGTGACCTTGTGGTTGCAGCGGTGGCCTTGAGCTTTAGAGAATAAAAGGCCAGTTCCCGGCCAGGACCTCTGTCTTCTTATGTTGACTGTAAAATAGTTTCTGCTGGATTAGTCAAGGATGTCAAGTGATGCTGTGGCAATCCACCAGACTTCATCACAGTATCGTGCCTTCACAGACGCCCCAGAAACGCCTTAGGAAGTTGTCAGGTCAGCTCTGCTGCTCGACAGCAATGTGTCATGTGACGATGAGCTGTAGCTGCAGATGCCCAGTAATTTGCATTATTTGTTTATGGCACTATGTGCAGGAGGTTTCTGCTGGACACACTGGAAGCAGAGGACACATGCTGAGATGAGAGCTTTGGCATTTTTCTCAGAAAGTGACAAACTGTTAACTGATTATCAAAGTTGTTAATCTGCTGAACTTGCTGTAGATATGTGTGAACTGCAGGTACTGACAGAAGTTACAGGTGCATGGAGGGAATCTTGCTCCATATCCATCATGACTCGCCCTGTTTGCTGCTGCACTTAGGCTGAAGCCCAGATTTGCATGCACTCAGTCACTCATCCACACAGCTCCACAGCACAGGCTGCATTTCAACCAGGCACATCAAACAGCCCAGTGATGCTGGTCCCGCATTCTCCCAGAGATGAGCTTTAAAGAGGGGTTTAATCTGGGCTCTGTTGTCGGGGTGCTGTGCATGTGTGTGTCTGAGGGGGAGAACTCGGAGAGGGGTGGAGATTTTAGGAAGCATACTTCAGGTTCAAAGTAATGGCCTATTTATGGGGCAGACAAACGGCGGCACAGCGTGAGAGAAGAACCACGAGTCCGGTGCCTGCGGCCTGTTGTTGTTCACATCGAGGAAATCACCAGTGGTGGCTGTGATAAGGACAGAGCCGGCAGCCGCGGGCGCAGCTCGTTGGATACACTCATGACCACACGTGCCACTGTACGCACACACATTCACACACAAGCTGGGATATCTGCACATGCACACAGTACGATACAGCACATGACAGTGCACCAACATATGCAGCACATTTTTGGGATTAATGCTAATTTATGCATTTCATCACAGCCGTGGCGTGGAGAGATGTAGAGCGCTCTGGGCGCTGCAGCGTGGCTGACTGTGTTAGCATGTGGCTAATCACAGGTGGATGATGCCTTATGTCTGTGTGGGACCCGCTGTGGATGGCAGCGTCCTCTCTGTAGGCTTGTGTGTGTGTGTTCTCATGCGAGTGTGGTCATCAGAGACTCGGACACTGATCGTGGCTGTACACGCGTGGCAGCAGCGGCCCTCGGCCAACAGCGCCACGTTTTGCTGAACAAATGGACTCGGCCTGTTGTGTATGTGCCGTGAAGTCGACTCTGCTGGGTGTAGGAGTGTGTGAAGTGTCAGCGACACCCACTGTCTCAAAGACTTGAGACCGTTTGGATTTGAATAAAAACTAGCTTTGAAGACATAATATGTCATTAACTGTTATCTGCTGTTGTGCCACAACGTCTGCGTCGAAAGTCAAACACTGAGACAAACTCCCATTTTAATGAGGCTGCTGGAGCCACAGGGGATCCTGGAGGAAAGGCCTTGGTGTTTTTATCTGGAGTACAATCAGAGAAACAGCTTGAAACGCGGCTTTCTGACCATGGAAGCTGTACGACTGATGGATGAGCCGGGTTAGGTGAATGTGTCTCCTGGACGGCAGAGCTCGCTGTTTGGTATGTGCACCTGTAACTGTAGGTTTCATGTCTGCTAGGCCTGGATACGGATACTGAGCTCAGTCTGGTTCAGTTCATTTCAATTCAAGATGAATTTACATCAGATAAAGTGCTTCTCAGGATGTGCACGTGAACCGTTTCCTGTCATGTTCACATTCTAATGTGAAAACACGTTTCCCGGTTCTAATGCTGTGAACCAAGGATTTAGTTTTCAACAAACTAAAACATGGCACATCTATATCTTGACGTGCACATACAGCAGCTGTCACCTGCTTTATAACTGAATTTTTGGTGCTTGTTTTCCACAGAGAAGACATGAACACAGCATGTGGTCTGAAGTGAACCACCTAAAACAAGTGTACACACAATATTTAAAGCAGTTGTACAGTTTCACTGAGAAAATGTGCACGTGCAAAGATCAGTCTCTGAATTTCAGGAGTCGATAATTGAATCGTTGAGATGAGAATCACAGTTAACTGGAACATGGATGTTTTTATCCAGCCCTGTCTGTACCCCACCAGCTCTGCTACGACTTCACAGCCTGTAGCTGCCGACTTTAATGACGTGTTCTGCCAAGTCGGCAAATATTGCTCATCAGTGTGTAACTAGTACACGTTTCCAAAGCCACGTGCATTGTCTGTGCTCTTCACTTTTATTCACACAGTTGGGAAACAGGGATGGCAGCATAATAAGAGAGATCACAGGTGGTGGGGGGGTGCATATGGGATTCACAGCTCTGCCCTGTGGGTCTTTTGGAGGACATCAAGTTGTTAAGCTTCATGCAACACACAGTGCAAAACGACAGCAGGGCAGTGTGTGTGATGTACTGTAGAATGCAACCAGTCAGACGCCACGTCAGCACAGGACGCGTTACCTGAGTGTGAGGCGTCCTCCCCATGTTCACCCCCTTTGGTGCGTCAGCTCAGAAGAGAGATGGCTTGTATCAGCTTCATCGTGCTGCACAGGGGACGTCTAGTCTTCCTCTGGTGTGTGTGTTCGGTGGTAAAGGTGCCTCATCACACTGACCGACACGCAGTAGGGGGTTTTGGCCCCCCCCCCTGTATCACAGGCCGAGTCTGAAATGCACCCAGTGATCAGTTCATTAGGAACATCTGTCTCAGACTGAGTCGATCTAATGCAGCAGTGAATCCTCGTTCAGGAAGGTGATGATGTTCAGTTTGTGTTAAACTGTGTCGCACAAAGTGACACAAAGGCCTCTGTGTGATGCAGTGAACAATGTGCATCACACATTGGAACAGTGGCACAGTAAACAAAGAGCCTTTGAAACAGTCCAGTGTACTGTAGCATGAATCCAACCCGATGCTACCCGACGCTGAAAACGGCGGCATCAGGACCTGAAGCTAACATCCAGCCCGCTGCTGAAGAATGGCTGCATTGTTCATATAAACAGAGCCGCAGGAAAAACCAAATGTTTTCCACGAGATGCCCTCTTATGTAAGCCGTCCCCATCTTTTGTTATCGTCATGTTCTCCCTTTTGTTTTCTCTCCCTCACAGAAATTGAGGTCAGTGATAATTGAAATTCAGACACCTATTAATTAGTGAGAGGATTTTTCTTCCGCCTCTCTGTTTGGTCGTTTTCCCACTCTTCCTCTGTCTCTCATACTGCTTCCTGACTGTCTCTTGTTGAATTCCTCCATTGTGCCTTCCCTCTCCATCACCTCTGGTTGA